TCCTGCCTGGTAATTGGGGGGCTGTGCTCTGCGGGCAGGGACCCCCTGCTGCTCAGGGATGGGGGGTGGGGGATCTGAGGGCGAGAGGGGCTCCATGTGGTCAGCTCCCTACAGCTAGCATCTAGGCCTCAGCCAGGACCAGCTGCGATGGCTCAGGAGCCCGGGCCTGCCACTGACCACTCAGTGAGACAAATCCGTGGAGCCCGAGACCCTGAAAGCACACACCTGGAGGGCTGATGAATATTCTGCGGGAACCCTCCCCATTTGTCTTTTGTGTGTGTTAATCCTCACCTGAGGATATTTTTCCCATTGCTTTCCAGGGAGAGTGGACAGGAGGGAGGGAGGGAGGGAGGGAGAGAGTGGGAGGGATGGAAGGGAGGGTGCTCTAATCACTGAACCACACCAGCCAGCCCCCTCCCATTTTTTTTTAAATATTCTTTTTTTAAAAATATATTTTATTGATTTTTTACAGAGAGGAAGGGAGAGGGATAGAGAGTTAGAAACATCAATGAGAGAGAAATATCGATCAGCTGCCTCCTGCACACTCCCCACCAGGGACGTGCCCGCAACCAAGGTACATGCCCCCGACGGGAATCGAACCTGGGACCCCTGAGTCCGCAGGCTGACGCTCTATCCACTGAGCCAAACCGGTCGGGGCCCCCCATTTTTCTTGGCGTAAAATGAAATTCACTCTGCAGGCCCCGAGGTCATTTTCGTCTCTGCACCCCCGGGGACACTGGCCCTTCTGCGGCGGCAGCTCTATCCTTTTCCCTTCCCCAGCTAAGTGTTCCTATTTGCAGGCTCCACTGGGTTTAAATTGGCTTTACTGCGGACACCTGGCAGCTTCCAATAACACAGACACACAAGTGGTTTAAAAAAAAATCTGCACAGAAGAGCGTAATTCCGGAGAGAGGGACGAACGAGGCTGAGTCAGCAGATGCGGGGCCTGTGGCCACCTTGCCCGGCTCTGGGCTCCGCCCCCGGCTAAGCCCAGCAGCACTGGCCACGTCCACAGTGGACTCCCTCCTGGATGCTTCCGAATCGCCCTCACCTGCCTGCCTCTTGGCCGATGAACATCCCAAAGTCTACCGGCCCTTCAGCCAAACCTCACCATGGGGATACACTCCCGCCGGCGTGCTCGGCACTCACTTCTCCTGGGCCAGATCCAAGGGAAAGACTCCACGGGCTCTCCATGCAACGCCTAAAATCCTACCCAGCCCAACAATTGAGTGAGCACCTGGGCCAAGGCCGTGGCCAGAGACACCCGGGCCACGTGCGTGCGGGGAAGGCTGTTCTGAGCTGGCGGAGCCGCCTCCCCGTTTCTCTGCTCCCGTCCTGAGCCTTCGATGGGGTGCTAATCCCTCTCCTAACTTTTGTGCTCTCTTGGGAAGCTCGAGTAAAATGCACTTGAAAGGGCTCTGCGAAGTCGGGTTATATAACCCGAGGCCTTGTCCTATGTCAGGAGAGCCTCTGACCCCCGGAACCAGGAGAGGGCTCGCCCCAACCTCAGCTCGCCCGCCGGAGGCCTCGCTGCAGTTTTCCCCACTTGCTCTCAACTTGGGTGATGGTTTGTGTCTTCCCTCGGTGGCTGCTGGGTGAGGTTAGAGCGCTGCCCCATGTTGGGTGGGTGGGTACATCCCTCCTATCTTTCCTGGCCAGACCCCAGTCCTGCTCATCTTGTCATGTGGGTGTGAGCCCTCCTCTCTCTCTCCCTCTTTTTTTTAAAAGTATATTTTTATTTATTTCAGAGGAGAGAGAAACATCAATGATGACAGAGAATCATCGATGGGCTGCCTCCTGCACACCCCCCACTGGGGATCGAGCCCACAACCTGGGCATGGGCCCTTGACCTGAATCGAACTGGGGACCCTTCAGGCCACAGGCCGAGGCTCTATCCACTGAGCCAAATCGGCCAGGGCCCCTCCGCTCTCTTCATCCCAACATCCATGCATCATGAGTCAGCGCTGACGCCCACAGTTCCCCAGGTTATTCTGGGTTTGGCTGGGGAATTGCTGCCTGTTTACAAGTCTGGGATTAACCTGCCAGAGAGCAAATCAGCCCGCAGCTGTCCTCGGGGCTGGGGAGAGCGCGATAGTGAAACCAGGCCCATCTGCGTTCACAGATAAGTGTTTACTGGCCCAGCACGGAAGTCCGTCAATTCCATGGGCAGATGCAGCGTGTCCTCACTCCCCTCCGCGGGGAATCCTCCTGGGGCCCCAAGTTCCATTGCCTGTAACATTCTAACAAACAGGGCAGAGAAGTACTTGTTTAGGACAATCTATCGGAGGCAGTCATGAAAGTCTTTCTAATACAGCTCCTCCTTCTTAAAATTTTTAAGTTGATTTTGAGAGAGAGGAAAGGGAGAGAAACATCGATGTAAGAGCCTGACATGGATTGGCTGCCTCCTGCATGCCCCCTACCTGGGATCAAGCCCCCGGCAACCCAGGCATGTACTCTGACCAGGAATCGAACCTACAACTTTGGTGGAGTGTCCATCTATAAACCGGGAGGTCACGGTTCAATTCCCGGTCAGGGCACATGCCCGGGTTACGGGCTGCAGAAGGCAGCTGATCAATGATCCTCTCATCACTGATGTTTCTCTCTCCTTCTCCGAAATAAATAAAAACATATATTTTTAAAAAGGGTCGGCTGCTGCCAAGGCAATGACATCCGGTCCCAAGCAAGGGCTGGACCCAGAACAGATGTGTCCCGCAGGCCGGAGCTCACAGGGAGCTGTGGGCCCGGCCGCCCCGAGGCTCCCCCACAGCATCATCCTGCGCAGACACCGACCCAGCCCCTACGGGAACGGGAACGGGAACGTGCTGTGCTCCTTATTTATTTAAATGCCTGTGAGCACACGGGAGAGAGAGACACACCTGCCTTCCCCTCTGTGCCCAGGGCTTTGCTTCCCTTCCTGTGACAACGATCCCCAAGATCCTCTTAGCATGTAAAATGGAGAGCAATAAACCAATTAGAACATAAAGTCAAGCAGGCTTAGAATATAACCAGGAAGACTGACGAATCCACACTGAAACAATTTCAGGAAGGGAAGGGAAAAGGAGGATTATGAATTGAAGTTAAAAAAAAAATGCTCAAATGAGCCTTTTTTTGGATCTGAAGTCTCTAAAACTGATCAGCTTTTTCTTTCTCTTTCTCGGTTCACACAGAATTGGGGCCGTTAAAAACCAAAATTCAACCGAGTAAATTGGGAGATCTGATTGGTTTTAAGCGATTCATGCATCGGGCAGCATCCTCTCCGACAGCGAGGAGCTCTGAGGGGTCGAGGGGTCGTACAAATGGAAGGTCTTTATAGACAGAGGGTGGGGCAGGGGAGTAACTAGCAAAAGGAAAGAATTCTTAGAACAGGGCATTTTGGGGGCTGCGGGGATGGCAACATTTTCGTCATGCAGCTTGCCTCTTGCCGATGGGGGTGCAGAGAGGGCCCACATGACTATCTCATTGGTGCTGAGCGGACACTCCCAGGCCATGTGATTATGCTCCGGGCGAGGCTGAAAGCAGTGGGGCAGGTATTAAATCCAGGCTTGGGGTCACAGGCTATTAGCTGGAGTGACCCCATTTGGGGGCTGGGGGTTTTCTCTTGAACAACGTCTCCCTTGTGGTCCTACTCTCAGCTTAACTGGGAGATGTGATCGAACATCAGGGACCAGCGTCGCCCTCAGCTCCGTCGGCGGCTGTGGGGGCAGCGCTGCGGACCCTCGGTTTTGCTGGATCCCTGTGACCTTCACAGGTCACGGCTCCAGGTTCCTAATCCCCACAGCCCGTCCCTCTCCTCCTTCCCGGTCTCAGGAAGAGCCTTTGTGTGGCTGTCAGCAGGTGCAGACACGGACAGAAGCTTTCGAGCGAATCCAGCGCCGGGGATGTTATGACGGAAGGTACGTCCAACCTGCAGGGAATTTCTGAGCGTTTGGAACCAAAGTGACGACGACTGCCAGGAAGCAAAGCTCAGCTGGCGGAGCCGATGCTCCGGTCGGCAGCGCTGCCGCCTCCTTCAGCCGGAGACTCAGAGGAGGGCAACACTTTAAACAATGAAGCATTTAAGTTAAAAAAGAAAGCAGCAGAGGAGGAGACATGCAATCCGCTGGTGGCAGGTTAAGGGGGTGAGAGCAAAGCGGGGAAACCCTGACTTGGATAAAGAGTGAAAGGGAGAGACACGCACTTCCTCCCATCGGGGCTGCGGGCAGTGAACGCGAACACTCACGGCGCAGGAGACGGGCTGCGGGGAGACGGGCTGCGGGGAGACGGGCTGTGGGGAAAAGACAACGACAGGGTCCCGGCTCGGGCTCTGGTGCGGAGGGAGGGCGTGCCTTCCGGGGTCTGGAAACAGAGATCACACCTGTCACTCCCAAGGTACGTTGTCCCAGATGCCAAAGGCAACAGTTTCAAAGGTCAAGGTTGACCTTCGTCAAGGATGCTGCCGGCCGGGATGGACTACCTGCCCTGCCCGGCGTGTGGTCAGGAATGTTTACGTCTCTGAGTTTGAAGGCCGTCACGCGGCCTCCCGAGCTCTACCCCTTTCTCATCCGCACTGATAATCCCGATGCCACAGTCCCCGAGGCCCAACTCGGTCAGACAGACCCCGTGGAAAGTTGCCCTTTGAGCCCCACGGCTCCCTCCCTCGGGGCCTTCCACCCCCCAGGGTGTGGCTCCAGGCCCAGCAGGCAGCGTGGCCGTGGCCGCAGACCCCTCCTTGCTGGGCTACAGGACAATCCAGGGCAGCCGAGGGCTCCAGGAGCTAAGGAGAGGCTCTTCCCGTGTCCAGTCGCTCCTCACAGGGGAGCGGGGCCCCGCCAACGCCCACAAACCCTGAATCCTGGGAAGCCTCCCACTAGGCTTTTCTAGAACAGCCAGGGGCACAGTTCATCTACGAGGCACCAGCCAGTGGGCGCCAGCCGCCAGGCACTCCTCGCTACGAACTGCGAGGTACGAAAACGTATCCAACAAGACGTTTAAAGAGGAAGAAAGTGCAAAATCCTTTCAAAGACGAGATCCCATTTCGGCACCTTGCCATTTATTTCAATGTCGTCCCAGACACACATGTGGGGCAGCATATGCTCCCCCATCACTCCGCAGCGGCACATCCCCCCGGCCCAGCGAGTCTCCACGTGACATGTGGCCTAGTGCTTTGAATCGAGGCAAGATCTTTCCAGGAAACAGGAGGGAGAGGAAAACATGTACATTTGGTAACATGATTATAAAGAACCTGCGGTAGACGGATCGAAAAACATCTTTAAACAACTATAATCGGCAGAACAAGCTTCCCTTCTTCCGCCCGCGTTAGAGAGTGAATGTCTGTGAGCTCGGGTCCGGCGCTGGCAGGCCCGGCAGGCCCGTGTCTTTCACTTTCCCACACTGAGCACCGCCCCCCGCGGGAGTGAGGGTGGCCCTGCCACACGCTGTCCTTCCGCTGTGCCGGCTGCTGCGGAGGCTCGGCCTCCCTCCTCACTCGACCTCCCCCCTCGCACGGCCTCCCGGGATCAGATACTTCGGTAGTCAGAGCCCCGGGCCACGATGGCGGCGGCTTCCCACTCCACCGCGAAGAAGGACACGGTTCCGAAAAACCCGAAGATCACCATGAGCAGGAGTTGCCAGTGGAGGAGGAGGTAGTTACTGTAGAAAAACGCCACGGCTGCACAGATGGACTAGGAAGAAGGAAGACGGGTCACAACGTGCACGGGGTGGCCCGAGCTCACAGCGAGCCCCCCCACCCCCCACGTGCAGGCCCACGGCTTTCCGCGACTGGCAGAGCTCTCCGTGCGTCTCGGCAGGGCTCCACCCGTCACCCGCTCACAAACATGCACCAGAGACTCCCGTCCAGAGCGGGTCACCATCGAGTGGGCTACAATCTGTTCTTTAAAACAGCAATTGGCGGAAAACCGGAGCAGTCATGTGCATCACAGCCAGGACTGTCTACACTGCGCGTGAATCCAGGTGTCTAAGGAAGGCTCTACCTGAACTAGAGACCAGAACATAAGCTCTCTCACAGGAGTGGGGCAGGAGGGTCACACTCTGTGCATTGCTTCCTAATTCTATTCACAAACCCCGTTAGCAGATGTCCCCACTGCTCGTCAGAGACACATTATGAGAAACAAAGTTAGCCCGGTCGGCGTGGCTCCGTGGCTGAGCGTTGACCTATGAACCAGGAGGTCACGGTTTAATTCCTGGTCAAGGGCACAGGCCGGGGGTTTCCGGCTGGACCCCCAGTAGGGGGTGTGCAGGAGGCAGCCGGTCAATGATTCTCCTAACTGATGTTTCTATTTCTCTCCCGCTCCCTTCCTCTTTGAAATCAATAAAAATATATTTTTTAAAAAAACAGTTAAAGCACTAAAACAAAGGCTGCACAACCTGCAGCCCCGGTACCTGGACAAACTTAAAGACGGCGAAGGCGGGGGCGCTGTCCTCGGAGTAGAGGAAGCCCAGCATGCTGAGCAGCTGCGTGTTGAAGCAGCTGTCTCCCAGACCCAACAGGAAGCTGCAGAAGATGGCCACTTCTTTGCTGAGTAAAAGAAACATTAATTTAGAACGAGCATCAACAATATCTGCTAGAGCCATTTCAAAGGTGGAAGCAGCTCACCCACAAAAGCATTTTCCCTCCCAAGCTTCCAACACTGTGAAACAAGAGTGAGTAAATCCTGGGGTTTTCACAGGAAGAATGTATGCTCCAGGGCACTCATGTTCACAGTCCAGCCAACTGGGCTGCCAAGTGTTTGCGGCAGGACCGCCGAGGCTGTGGCTCTGGACATAAATGTCGGTAAAGGACCGGCCGCCCTGCCCAGCTGCACGGCCACCCCTTGCTCCTCGCTGTGCTTCCCCCAGGCCCTCACTTCCAGCAATTTCACTGCTCAGAAAAGCAGAGGCACAACATTCACACCGGATGCTCCCGTGCTTCTTCATAGATCGAGAAGACTCAGTGGGAAAAGATTAGCACCAACTACAGAAATAACTGGTTCTCTGCCCTAACTGGTTTGGCTCAGTGGATAGAGCGTTGGCCTGCGGACTGAAGGGTCCCAGGTTCGATTCCGGTCAAGGGCATGTACCTTGGTTGCGGGCACATCCCCAGTAGGGAGTGTGCAGGAGGCAGCTGATCCATGTTTCTCTCTCATCGATGTTTCTAATTCTCTATCCCTCTCCCTTCCTCTCTGTAAAAAATCAATAAAATATATTAAAAAAAAAAAAAAGAAATAACTGGTTCTCTATGGATTTCCACCTAAACGCACGCTGGCTCCATAAACGCATTATAGAGGAGGATTACTGCCCCGCTTTGAAGACCTCCCCATCTACCCCCCGCCCTCCTGACTGCTGGGAAAGCAGGTGGCCTCACCTGGATTTGATGTAAGCGCTGCTGTCAGTCCCCTCCAGGGGGGCGATCGGGGCGTCCCCGGGCATGTTGAGGAATATTAAGTAAAAAGCTACAAAGTGCACCAGCGTGCCCAGCAGCACAACCGGGTTTCTCCCGAAACGATTATTCTTGCTCAGGAGGCCGAAGAGGCTCCCACCTATAAAGTCAATGAAACCGAGAACAGAATGACCCAAGATCACGTTAAAAAATCAAAATAATGATCTGGAAAAAAAAAAAAGAAATAAATTTCAGTGAGAAATCAGTGGGAGTGCGACAGACTGGACAGGCCTCCTCTGTCGAGGTCAGGGCCGACGCCCTGACCCTGGGGAGTGTTCAGAACGGGGGGGGGGGGGGGGCGGACCCCAGCTGGCGTCAGACAGAGGACAAGAAAGTCGGGGATTCCCAGACACCTCACTGAGCATCTCCAGAGACCCGGTGTTTTCCTACTTATGGGTTTGTCTCTGAATTATTTGGCAAATGTCTCGTAACTTAGTTACCTTACAAAAGTGTCAATAAAAAAAACAAAGACCTGCCCATTTGGGGAAAAATAAACAGGGAAATAGAAATTCAAGAACAGAGAGAGGCAAAGGACACTTAGAATTTCAACTATAACAACAGATTTCATGCAAAACGTTCCCCTCACTGACCCAGGATTTCCCCGATGCCGATGAAAATGCCGGAAAGCCCGATGAGGCTCTTCTCTTCTGCTCCGAACTTATTGACGGCGCCGATGCAGGTGCCATACACCCCGGAGAAGAACGTCAGTTCCAGACCTTCCGGAACAATCGGGTTTCAGTTAGACACTCACACCTGCCCCTCCCCAGCTCTCCTCTGTGCCTAGGAGTGTCTGAGCCGTGCACATACCAAACACCCAAGAACAAAAACTCGTTCAGCCTGAAATGTTCCTCCCAAGCAGAGAGTACGTTCATGATGAAATGGAATTGGCCCCACGACGGCAGATGACACATATTTCAGATAAAGATATACAACTCAGAGGAGCAAAGACGTGCTTATGTTCAAAACGGTCACTGCGTGTGTATACAGGTGGGCAGAGGATAGAACTCACATACTATACAATAGCTTCCCAAGGGAAGAGGTGATACAGTTGGAAAACTAGCAGGTGCTATTGCACAATAACCTTTTAATTAAATCTTTTCCCCAGGAAACCATGAAAAGGGTAAAAATTAGGGCACATCAGCCGAAGACCTGATTCCTCAAAGATACAAACCTTAACTGAATTTTACTTTTTCTCCTAAAAAGATACTTATACCCATGAGGCAGATAAGGGCAAAAGTAACAATTGGCGCATTCCAGCCCTTTTAGGAGGAAATGAGTTTCCTGTCATTCTTAAGGCGTAAGAGCACTCCACCCACTATCACATCACGTGACCAGCATTAGCCACCAGACTCATTCCTTTTCATTAGAAATTCTCTTAATGCCCATCGGGCGTGGCTCAGAGGTTGAGCACTGACCTACGAACCAGAGCACAGTTAGATTCCCAGTTAGGGCACCTGCCCGGGTTGTGGGTTTGATACCCAGTGTGGGGCCTGCAGGAGGCAGCTGATCAATGATTCTCTCTCATCACTGATGCTTCTATCCCTCTCCCTGTAATCAATAAAAGATCATATTAGAAAAAAAAAGAAACGACCTTAATCCATACAAAACCACAAAGGTTTACTCTGTTGTTTCCTATAGTGTCCACTCTGCCCTACAATCACTGGCTGGGATGACCCGTGCCCCCGGATACAAGCCCGCGTGTAGAACCGTCCACACTGCACGTGGCTGGCCCTGTGTGCTGTGGAGGTGACGCTGCCAGGGGCCAGGCTAGCTTCAGGGTCTGGTCCTTTCTCCTTCTGCCCCTTTTGGAGCCCGTGCCACTAAGAAGCCTGGCATCCTGCAGGGAGGGGAGGAGGGGGTCACGGGGGAGGTCCTGCAGCTGGCAGGCACACCTGGAGAGGCAGAGACCCGGCCTGGATCTGACCCTTCCGAAAGCCAATGAAACCATCTGGAATGTTCTAGCCCAGCTGCCCTCTAACAGCACCCACAAGGGACCCCCACTGGGACCATCACCAGCACCCCTCCGCTGAGCCCAGTCAGTGCACAGAACTGTGAGAAAGCATGACATGGTGGTGGCTGTCATTAGTCGGCAACAGAAAACAAACCAAAATCAAGGCACTTACTCCCTGATAAGCACTCACCTGTATAGGCGGTTGTAATGCTGAGAAGGAGCATCTCCTTGGTGACACACAATTTAAGAGACTTTTCTGTAAAAAAAAAAAGAAAGAAAAGAAAAGAATCTGGTACTTAATTTCAACTAATCGAACAAACATTCTAAAACATCTGTTCACCGAAACACCCCTTGGTCAATAATGCCAGTGAACAAATACACTGGGACAGAGCTCGGTGATCCACATTTCAGACTGAAATGCTTAAGGGCTGGCCCTGGCCGGTTGGTTGCTCAGTGGCTAGAGCATCGGCCCTGGGACTGAAGGGTTGCCGGTTCAATTCCAGTCGAGGGCACGTACCTCGGTTGCAGGCTCCATCCCTGGCCCCAGTCGGGCACATGCAGGGGGAGGCAACCAATCAATGTGTCTTTTTCACATCAATGTTTCTCTCTCTGTCTCCCCCCTCTCCCTTCCTCTCTCTCTGAAAAATCAATGCAAAAAATATCCAGTGAGGATTAACAAAACAAAAAAAAAGCTTAAGGTATGAACTACTTGCTCTATAGATAAAATGCTCATTTCAACTGCTCAAATATAGCCTAGAGTCGTGTTTTCCCCAACGCATTCTCCAGCTCTAATTTTTAAAAAAAACATGAAATGGAGAAAATGGAATCAAACAAACAACAGAACATTCTAACAGTCGTGTTTAAAGGTTAGGCCTTTAAGGGAGTCAACAGCTGGCACAGTGCTCACTTCCCGAAGGAATGAGCGTCCGGAGCAGCTTTAAGGCTGACTCAGACGGAAATCACCGGGCCCTGCTGACCACTCGGCCGCTGAACACACTTCCTGAGCTGCTCGCTCAGATCTGAGGGTAAACTTTAGCTCTGCACTTGCTTACACTCGCTTTAATGTTTGTTTTCATGCTGCTCAAATTAGTTAAAATCTGCAATGGAAAATGCATTTCTAAAAACTGTATTTTTGTTGTTAATCCTCACCTGAGGATTTTTTTTTTTTAAGGGACAGTGGAAGGGAGAGAGGGAGGGAGGGATACATCAATGTGAGAGAAACACACCGACTAGTTGCCTCCCACGCGCCCTGACCGGGGCCGGGGATCAAAACCTGCAATCCAGGTACATGCCCTTGACCAGGAATCGAACCCGAGACCCTCCGTTTTCTCTTCTATTAAATGGAGATAAGGATAGGTCACATCTACAGGTCGTATCATACATGTTACACAAGCCTTGGGATTGTGAGAATAAAATGAAACACGAGGGTTAGCCAGGAAGAGCCAGACAGATGCGAGCGGCTGTCCTTACGAACCCCTCGGTCCCCGGCCCGGCTCTGAGAGGTGAGGGGTGCCTGGAGAGATGGCCTGCGTCCTCACTTTCTCCCGTAAACCCCAATTCCCGGGTTCCCTGCCGCCCCCACA